TTTTTTTTTTGCCTTTATTTTTTTTTTTTTTTTTTTTTTTTGGTAGATCTTGTCATCTTGGTAGATAGAAAAATACAACATACTATATATTAGGTAATAGTTTAATTATAGATCCATTTTATTTTTTAAACAACAATGTAAGTTAAATACCCAAGTAATTTAGGCCTCTTATTTAAACCAATTTTGTTGTTGCATTTTAAAGGGCTAGAGACCCAACCTAAAAAAAAAAAGGAAATATTTTGTTGGGTTTTGGAGTTTTATTTTTCTTTTGAGACCCTTTCAAGTTGGAGGCCCTAGGCAATGCTTTGGTTGCCTTGGGCCAGGGCTGGCCTTGCAAACAATGCGGCTGCTGGGAGTTTACGCATATATATTTACATATTGAAGAAGGGCAGCCTGCTAGTTTTATATAGGGTGTGTTTGTCACCCATTATTTGGGAATAATGTATTATAAAATAGTGATTGATGTTGAAATGTGTGGTTAAAAAAGAAAGAATTTTTTTTTATTTATGTATAGTATTATTTTAATAAAGAATGTATGGTTGAAAATGAGTACTGTAGAAAAAATAATGAGAAAGAATGTGAGAAAATGGATGACAAACAGGGGCATAGATACAATACATAATTGACCGGAAGACACGTTGAAAAGGCTGCTACTGAGAATTTTTATTACACGCCAATTGGGCAAAAATATATCTACCTAGACAAGTCACACACGCACGCAAAAGTGGAGAAAATACGTGGAATTGATCATGTTTCCTCAAATTTCGGTGATTTCGTTCCTATTTTTTGTGTTTAATTCCAATCTTATGTTAGGCTAATTCCTCTTATGTATTGGATGAAGATGAAACATTTTATTATTTATTTTTAATTCGAGAAACCTGGCTTAGTTGAATTTTTGCAATTCTTGATTAATCTTGCATGTTTAATTTTATTATTTGATTGCTTGATCACCAATTAAATATATGATTGCTTGTTGTAGTGCTCTGAGACTCACAATAGGTTTAAAACACTGCTTGATTAATATATGTGCAATAAATTTTAGGAATAATATTTATTACGTGTGCAATTTTTGAGATAATTGTGAAAATGAATTCGGACTAGGAATAGATTCGAGTCATGATTAGGATATATTTAATTTCTCTTGGAAAAAAAATTTAATTACAATAGAATTATCGATTATCAAGAATATAAGAACGAAATTAGCTACGTAGTCAATAATTGGAATAGATAATTATAGGTGGATTCGTAATTCAATGCAGTCTTCCCATATACATATTAAATTCGTATTTTACACATTTTCGTAGATTAAATTAGAATAATTAAAAAGCACAAAAATCACTTTTATTTGTTTACTTTGAATCTAATTAAATACTAGCATACTCAATTAAATTTTATTTCTCATGAGACAATACTCTTAACTCACTAAATTTATTATTTGTCAACGATCTCGTATGCTTGCGGATTTCACACGAACAATAACTATGAACAACTTTAAATGGATTTAGACCTATAGATCGATTCACATAATTGTTATATGCAATTTGAACAGTTGGGAGGATCAAGGGACAAGATGATATTAGTTTATATGTTGTTCTGGTGAGTGGACTGTCCTGCCTCTACAAATTATTTATTCATATCGAGAGACCGAGATTTTTCAAATGCGCTCAATCAGTTAAGTATGCATAGATTTAATGTCCTTCTAGCACAACCTCTTAATGAATCCATGGCTCTTGTTGCTCCAGTGAAGTGTGTTTGGGATTGGAAGCAAAGCCGGTTTTGAGACTACGCAAATGAGGCCCTCGCCTCAAGCCCAAGACCATAAGGGGCCTCATTTTAGCCCGACTCTCTCTCTCTCTCTCTCTCTCAAAATAAGGCTAAACAGCCCAGATTCAATGGTGTGGGATTTGATGTAAATTTATTGAAGACAAGATTTAAAATGGTTAAATTTGGGGTTTATTTTTTTGAAAATGGTGTGGGATTTGATGAATTTTATAAATAGGTGTCTATAAATATTCATGTCGTCGTCTTATTTTCGTACAAAAACTTTGTGAAGATAGATATTTTTGTGATTGTATTTGTTGAATCAATGTCGTTGTCTTATTTTTGTACAAAAACTTTGCGAAAATATTATTACGTTTTACAGTTCTTTCA